TTGCATGTCATACAGCTCATGCAATTTTTTGAAGGACTTTAGTTTCCAACTTGCTTGTATGAAAGATGCCGTATGATTCCAGCACATAAATAAACTAATACAGTAACTTAGCAAGATAAATAAATAAATCATTGTATAACAGCAATTTATTTATTTTATTTTTTTTGTAGCGCAAAAATCTTCTCTGATATTTGCGTGACACAAAGACAACAACAGTGCAGATCTATGGGTGTGCATCATATCGAAATTGATGTCTGTGATCAATGTCACCGAGGGAGGCCATGCGGGACATTTAGTGGCCGTCGCCGCCGCACGGCAGAAGGCCTGAGAAGTGTTTCGTCTTCTCTGTGATATATCTAGCTTTAAGTGGGAGCCTGGCGGGGGATCAATATGCTGCAGGCGGCTCATATTTCACTGAAAACAGAGGGGAAGGACGGGATGATGACACGGCTCTGCAAGGCTCGCGGGAGGTCAGTCCTGAGAGCCGGGCCGCAACCCGTGAGGTGAGGAGGAAGAGGAAGGAGAAGAAGGGAGCAAAGTTTGGTGACTAAATGCTGCGGCGAAGGCTTGGAAGCAACACAGACGGCAAGCGTGACAGCTTGTCGATTCAGTGAATTTATAATGAGTGTTCTTTTATGCTTCACTTTCTCTGTAACCTTTCTCCTCTCGGTTTAGGGCCCCCCTCTCTACCTGCCCCCCCCAATCCTCACCCACATTGTCCTGTCACTGCCTCTTGTAGCCCTTTCATCCTGGAGGTAAAAACACAAAGAGTTCGATGAAAGGTGTTTAGTCGCCGCTCCCTCTGCCCCCCCACCCCACCCACACCACCCGTTTGTTGAAGTGTCCTAATGATGCAAATGTTATTCTGGCTAATGAGCAGGAGCTATGTTCCGGCTGAGGTTTACCACCCAGCGCCGCCGTCTTGTCTCATGAATAAAAATCCCCGTGTCAGGGGTCCAGACGGGTGCTCCTCTCCTCTCTCACAAGATAACGACCAATATACAGATGGCGCCTCCTCAAACAAGAGGAAGGTGGAAAAAGACAGTTGTAGGTTTTGTCAGAGAGAAGCGAGCAGGGTATTTAAAAACGAATTTAAATAAACAGCCACGTTTGAGCGGTCATAAAAATACGAACAAAAACAGAAAAAAACTTTGGCCTGGAACTCTGCACGCCCCCTCACCTGTGAAACTCCGAATAACCTTTTGACTCCGGGTTCACTCTGGCTGTCAAGTCCACACGGTCTTACGGAGAGATAAACCAACAGCTATTGACTAGGACAGAAAAAAAAAAAACCCAACTTACAGCTGTTTGCATAACTCTCCCTTCCCACCTCGCAGCTTAATCCTCTGCGCTTTTTGCCCTTCAGTGTTTCAAAGGCAGCCTGCGGGCTAGAATTGCCCTTTGCTGACTCGTGGCTGACAGTGAATAAGTTCCCCCGCTCGTCTCCCGCCTTTTATCTCTGAGATCATACTCCGAGTGGGTCAAGATCAATGGTGCTCCCTGCAAATCTGCCCAGGCTCTGGGTGCTTCTCATTGACCTCTGCGCAAGGGGCAACTCGCGCTCCCATCCAACCGTCTTCTGCGTGCACATCCGTGGGCAAACCCAGGTTCTGCACGCTGAGTTTTTCAGCAGAGAGAGTCAGGGAGCATGCTGGTTCAGAGTCGTTTTTTTGCTCCAGTGCTGACTTCTTCTTGAACTTAGCTGCAAACTGCTCTCAGGCTCATGGCTGCCTTAAAGATACAGGTGAAATAACAGTGCCCAGGGAAAGAATTCACTCCACATATTTCTTTATGTTTTCGAACATTAATCTTGGAGGATAATACGAGTCTTTGTGTCTCCTATAAGCTTTGCACGCTTGGAGACTGAGGTTTTTTTCTGCCGGTTCTTTGAAAAATAGCTCAGGCTTGAACGGACTGAATGGCGAGTTTATATGAAAAAAGGTTTATGTTAGATTTCTTCTATGTATCTGATTTTTGCTTGGAAGCCTACAGTTCAGATGGATGACTTCAGTGTCATTGGTTGGATTTTAACTGGAAGTGACAGAGTAACAGACACAAGATGTGACTAAACGCAGGGCGACATGGACTAAAAGTCTTATCACAATATATTGTTGTACAACTGTGATGACGATAAAAATAATGATAAGAACTATTGATTATGTCGGGGGGGTTGACATTTATTTATCTTTATTGATGCTATCAACAAATTGTGGGGATAACAGTGAAAATACCCGATCCTGATGACACGCAAATTTGAGAGATTTGTTTTATAAAAACATCATTTTGGATGTTTAAAAGTCTTGTCATAATGAGAAATTTGTCATAATAAACAATAAATGATCCAATAAAACTCACCGCTCTACTCAAGGGATATAAAACTTTTTATAGAGCGCTGTATAAGATGTGGTCATCTCCTGTCTTTATGGCATTCTTACTGAAGAGAAGACATCTGTATTTCACTCTTGAATACATAAAAGATTTATTATGCAACTGTGAAACCTCAGTCCTACTGCAAACATTTCAACATATTATATTTAACATCACATTTAAATTTTCTTCTAGGTGACGTCACCACATTTTGAACATTAATGACAAAAATAACCATGGATTTATGTATCTCATAAAATTGCGAGGTAAATGAACACATTTAGCTCATAAAAGTAAAGAGAAAAGGAGTAAAATTCACTGCATCATGACAACAAAAGCACAACGGGCAACGCTTCCACTCTCCTCAGGCCCAGTACAAGTCGTGACAGCGGCGACAGCGGCCCGGTGCCGATCCTGCAGAGGCTCACCTCTAACAGGGTTTCCTGTGAGGCCCGGCTCAACAAGATGGATGGCGAGTGCCGAGCTCCTAACAGGGCGCACTCGGCCCAGACATTACTGGGTCCGAGCTCAATGAAGGGGGTGGCGTTCCCTCGCCTGCCTCTTCCCTAATAGGAGGCACTGGATGCGAGACAGGAGCCCAAATATAACGCCGTCGGCTCGTCACCAGAAAAAGAACGCTCTCACCTGAGCTCGCTCACTCACAGAGTGCACTGGGGAGAGGCGCAATGAACGAGTGCGAGGCCGTAAACTGGGGCAGAGGCAAGAGAGAAGTCTGAAGGTAGGACACAGGTATACATCGTACACCTGTGTCCTTGCTTTTTTCAATTTGGAGCTACATAAACAAAAACGTTTTCCTTAGTAACGTTTTCCTTAGTACTGGTGCTCCAAGTGGTGGGAAAGGGGTTGTAAGTCCAGAAACATACCAGTTAATTAAAGTCAGTAAACTATCCTGGTAAGACAGAAGAAAGTGACCAGTGAGTTATGTAAAAGCTTGAGGTCTTATGAAAACAATGTGACTTGTAATTTCTGTAAAAGATCTAGAAAATCACCTGTTAAGTTTCAGGAACTTAGCAGAAAGTGATCTAATAGGTTCTGGATAGCACCTGATTCTGAAATTTACTCTTCAACTTCAGGGAAAGTACGTAACTCCTGAGAAAGAAATAATCAATGAAAATCAAATGAAAGCGTCTGGGAAGTTTCGGATGAATACTTGGTGTGTTCTGGGCGGGACCCAGAAAGTAACCGTTACATTCTGAGAAAGTATCTAAGCTTCATGTAAACTTCAAGATTATTCATGTGAAATAATCTTGGAAAAATACCTGGAAAAGTACATTCCTGCTTCTCAGGAAAACAACTTAAGTTTTAGGAAAGAGTTATAGGAAAGCAGCAGGTTAAATCCCAAAAGATATTTGATCAGTTTTAGAAAGTAACCACTGAGTTCTAGGAAATAATATCCTGGTTTCAGAAAAAGTAACCTGCAGGTTCTCATGAAAGCTCTGAGTTGTGTACCACGTATATCCATGTAAGTCCTAGAAAAGTATCTGCTAAGTTCCTAAAAGTATCTTGTACGTTTTAGAAAATAACATCAAAGTTTGTGGAAAGCACCAGTGATTTCCCACTTGGTATAGGTTCCAGGAAAGTAGCGATAGATTACAATGAAAGTTACAGATTTCAAGACATTCTGGAAAGTTCGATGAATGTAACTGTGGTCCATTACAGTTCCACGGTACTATCTGGTAAGTACTGGAACTGAAACCGGTAAATAAATAGTTCTGCAAACAAATGACCACATTGGGTCACGGTTTGGAATTTATTTTCATATCGCTCAGTAACTTTTAGGAGACGACGTGAGAGTTTGAACTCTCATCCCCTCCGTGACCCTCACATGGAAGACTTGCAAACATAGCAAGGCCGACAGAAAGACTTTGACGGCGAGCTCAGTGGGAGTGCATCCCGACATCAGATCAATCCACTTCGTCAGCTTCTCGGGCTGGCCTGTCGATTTCTCATCTGGGTCGTCCAAGCTCGCTTCGCCTTGAATAAAGGTGAAATAAAGGCTTTTGCTCCAACACGGCCAACTTTTCACCATGAGATGGACAATGTGTCGTCACTGCAGAGTTTGGACCTCAGCTGTGGTAGCACACACAAACAAAACAGACTCGACCAGTCAAACAGCAGTTGCACACATCCAATCAAAGTCTTACAAACATAAACATAAAACTTGGTTACAACAATCACAAATGCAACTGCAGGCAAATACAAGAATGGGTAAAAAAACAAATACAAGAATGGGTAAAAAAAAAACAAGAATGGGTTAAAAAAATCACTAAAAGAAAAAAAAAAACACAAAGTTTTTTTCCCCAATAACTCGTCTAGATATTCAAGAAAACTCTAAATTAGGACGGTAGGTTGAGTTCTATCGATGGAGGCCTAAATAATTTAGCAAAATCTCCTCTGTATTTATTTTTATTTTATTTTTTTACCACAGCTCGTTATAACTCACGTGGGTCTACGGTGAATTTGAGGTCGTCGTGACAAAAACACACAGGAGAAAGTGGATCTCTCTGAGGGACACGCGCGCCCTCGCCCCCCCAAAAAACAAAACAAGATAAAAGACAATTTCCCGTCAGGCGTTGGGAACAGCGCAGCGTCACGACGTCATGCGGAAGTAATCCGGCCAACATGGCTGCGTCCTTGACGGGCGTGTTTTGGTTTCGGTGAGGCGGTAAACACGCGAATGTGCGGAGAGGGCGAGAGTCGACAGAGCCGAGAGGAGGGAAAATGGAGAGACGACAGTTCGTCGCGTCTCTGGTGGTAAGACGGACGCTTTTATGCTCTTTATTCCCCCATGTTTGTTCCCCACCGAGTCGTATTTAAGGGACGCAGACTGAATGCTGTGAAGAACACAGTCCTCACTTTCACGTATTCTCCTCTAACTGTGTGAAGCAGACGATTTCATTACCAAATTACTGCTCTTTTCATACGAAGATAGGATGAAATACATGCAGTTACACAAGGCGATAACAGGATTACCTTGAGCAGCAATAATATCCTGCATAAAACTATAACATAACTTGCTGTGCAGTTATTTCAAACAAATATTGGACTCACAATCTAAAAATGACGTTGAACTGTTTGACTTACCTCACAATATTCCTCACAACTTGGTTTTACTTTTTTTTCTTCTTTTTTTGTAGAGTGCCCCCGTTTTTTTTTGAGAAGTAAAGTAAAGGGTCCTTCACTTTACTTCTTCAACCATTATTTTATGCCAGAGCCAGCCGTTGTGTTATTTTGCTGAACGCGGTGGAAAGGCTTGGAACAAAAAATAAAACAGGTTTTCCATTTCATTTGCAATACTGCTTGAAAAAATAAAAAAACATAGTTGACTTCAATGTGCTTCTGATCAACTTTCCCAAACATATTGCCACAAAAATGACATGCATAGAAACCCCCCACAAAGCTGACGTTGGAATAATGTTAGTTATGGAGACCTCATTGGAAAACTTTGCTAAATGAAATTACAGACAAACTACCCTAAGGATGAAAATGAGACAATAATATCTAAACATTTAATCTTGTTAAAAATAATACTTTTGCTTGGGTTGTGACACTTGTGTTTCACACTGTAATTCGGGTTATGTTTGCGGGGGTCAGTGGACTTACATTTCCGGTTTTCCTCACAAAAACTGAAGAAATACATGTCGGCACATGAGTGTGTTTTGGTGCTACTTGACGTACACATCTGATGAGTATTGTTATCAGTAAAGTGCTCACTTTACTGAAGAAGTAAAGTAAGCAGTAGGATTAAAAAAAAAACGTGTCCTTTTAAAAAATGAAAAAGAAATGCATTGCATCTCAAAAGGTGCCTGTCTTCAGGCAGGAGGCTGCGCCGGGATGTGTGTGGATCTGACCCTGTTCCCATTAGACACCATTAAGACCAGACTGCAGAGTCAGCAGGGCTTCCACAAGGCGGGGGGCTTCAAGGGGATCTACGCCGGGGTGCCGTCTGCCGCAGTCGGATCCTTCCCCAATGGTAAGACATTGAAGAACTTGGAAATCTATTGTAAGAACCAAACTGCTTGTATGTAAACACACCAAAGCAAGAGCTGCTAATAGGCGCAAAGGGCATTAATGCTGTGAGATAATAAAATAATGTGAGATGATATAAATAAAAAACATGATGCTATTACAGATATAATTTTCTCAGGTTTTGTACAGAGAGCACTGTCAGATATTCAGTGCACAGCAGAAATTAGTGCTCTCTGTTTTTAAAAAAGACATTTTCTCACATCGTTTGTGCACACATGCATTATTTTTTGCTTTTAAACTGTTCTACAGTGTGAATGAAACGGGAGTTACAAATAAGCCTCCATTGGCTTTTGGTAGCTAAAATCCTGTTTTTATAGAGCTTTAAGCTGAAGGTCTGTGAAAGAAACAGGTTAGCAGAAAAAAGACACCTTAAACCGGTCATTCGGTCTAATTCGAAAACTTATTTGATTTGTAAAAAGTTTTAAAAACCATGTTTAAACCATGTTCGTGTTTGCCACTCTGCTTTACAGTTACGTCTTACTTTGTTTTTTGTGTGTCACCTAAAAGGCCCTGAAGTTTGTGACTAGAAAATGAGAAAAGATTTATTGGGTATGAATTCTCCTTTGATTAAAAATCTGGCAAGTTTTAGGCAAAGTGTAAATGCCTAAACTCTAATACTTCCACATAGATTTTAGTTGTTCCTGCAACAATCTTTCCAAGTAACAATATATCTAGACTGCTTTATAAGGTGGCTGTTAGGTGGGAGTGGAAGCAGCGGTAATTGATGATCAATAAGCCATCCAGGCAACAGCTGAATAAATGTTCTTTTTAATGAGTTGATATGATTAAGCTCAAGCTTTTCCCAGTTGTTAATCAGGCAGAGAATGACAAGAAAAATAGATATTGAAGTTTTTCCCTCTTTTTTTAATGTTATATACCTATATGATAGATTTATTTAGCCGATGGGTCTGTTGGAAAAAAATAAACTAAAATTGAAAGTGGGTCCATATATGACGGGCATTATTTCCTGGGCGTTACGATGTGTTGTTGTGAACGCAGAGACACACACCTCACCGTCCCCCCACTGTCAGTGACAGTGAGGAATATTAATTGCCGTACGCTGGTTGACTAATGGACCCTAAATGACTGCGGTTCTGCTTGGTTTCAGCCGCTGCGTTCTTTGTCACCTACGAGTGCGCCAAGTCCCTCCTCGGCGCCAGCGGAGCTTTCGCAGCGCCGCGCGCGGCACCTGTCAGTCACATGCTGGCCGCCTCCCTGGGAGAAATAGTAAGTTCTCGCCATCCCTCCTTCTCCCTGCTTTTTGTCTCCTCTGGTGTGGATTTCTCCTTAACCGTGCTCTCTTTAGCTTGTTTTTATTTGCCATTCATCTTCAGAAGGCCAGCTGTCGCTCTTGTTATTGCTCCTCCGTCTTCCTGCCCTCGCCGCTTCTTTCCCACCACTGCATATCCCAGATGAACACCGCTGGCATGCGCGCTAATGTTACTGCCTTTTAAATTTCACAGGCTTCTTTTTGAACGGGGGGAGGAGAGGGCTGGGAGTGTGGTTTTTGGCTGTGGGCCTCCAGGGTCCAGCTGGGCGAGTTAAGGGGGCTTCCTCAGGACTGTTCCGGTGTTTTCCCCACCAGCTGCGTAAATAAGATCTCATTACCGCCGATTCACTCATCTGTTTTCCCAGAGAAGTAACCCAGCCAATTTAGTCTGGGGAATTTAGGCTCGAGAACCCACGAGGAGCGGTGCAATTTCCTCAGCCCGTCCTCTCCCAGTCGCTCGAAGCGAGCCCCGGCGCTCGAGCCATATGTGGGCCGCTGGTATTCAGATTGGCATGAAGGGGGGTTCGGGGAAGGGGGCTTGCAACCGGGCCTGTTTTGATCTTCAGTATTCATAGCTTTTGGATAGATGTAATTTAGAAAAGTTTTGCATGTTCATGGCATGGAATGATTCCCAATGGGGGGACGCTCACTCTGTCTCTGAGAACGGAGGTTTTAAAAAGCTGCGAGTTCAGACCCACTAAGAAAATAAATAAAAACTACCTGCCATGCTGTTTCTATTGGTTGAAGAAATATTAGGCTCTTGCTCTTTCTGTCAGCATGCAGGATTTTTAGAAATGCTTACCAAAGTGAAATTGCCTTTGAAAAGCTGACTCTGGTGGGCATATTTGGGAGCCTGATTTCTGGATAGCTGGATATCCAAATGATATCCAGCTATCCAGCAGGCCCACAAATGTAGACTCTGGCTTACTGTGCAACAAACCACAACACTAGCTATGTTTTATGAGTAATTCTCCATCGGTCTCAGTTTTTCATAACTTTGTTTCCATTAACCTTTAACTGTAAGCTGAAAATGTTACTGACTGAGATAAAAGGCTACAACCTGTGACAGAATCCATAGCCGGAGCTATCCTCAGGATCCTCTCCTAGTGAGAGTAATCAATGTTATCGCTTGATGGTTGGAGTCTAACAGACCGTGAAGTCAGCCATTTTTTCTTTTCAACAAATGAAATCAACTTATTTTCACATTTGAATCGATCAAAATGGAAGGGAAGGAATAATTGTTGTTTTTCTGTTTTAGTTAAAACCAATGCAGGTGTTAAAGTCTTTGTATGAAATGGTGGTATTTTTCTTTAGTCAGGTTTGTCAGCAGTCCACCAAGTCCAGAGGACAACAACATGCCACAGTCTGACTATAACCTCTAACTTTTGTCCTGATCAGCTGCAAATTGCTCCAGGAGTGGAGCAGATAACAGCCGGTGAAACTTGCTCGCTTCTGCCCGGGTCGCGGGTGAGATGAATGTGAGAGGTGAGGCAGAGGTTGCCATCGCCTTTAACCTCAAGGTTGGATTTATTCACATCAAAGGCACAAAGCTACAGAGCATGGACGCTATCCCACTGACTTCTGGCAACTGACTTCGACTTGAGAGTCTAAGCTGCAGGCTTATCCATGAAAGACTCAACCCCAGCATAGCCCTGAGTTAAATAATAAAAAAAAGGCCTTAACACCTGCACAGTGATGCAACATCAGCCATTTATTATTCTGCATTCCCTCAGTCATTGGTAAAGAATTTTAATCAAAAGTTGTGTTTCTTTCCCCCATAAGTCTTGCAAAGTGGTGAAAGTGTTTGAAATGGCTTGTTTGGGTCTAGTGCCTTAATGACTTGTAAACACATTTACAATGAGTCGGATAATTAAAGAGGAAGTTATTGATGCATTTTAGTGCTAAAATGATATGTGTCGCAGCCTAGGTCTACTGATTAAAAATGAAGTAGGTATTGAAAACAAATGGATGGATTTTCACTACTTCTTCACTGTGTGCCTGTGTATGTTTACCCAGCGGGACAAAATGACAAGTTAAAGGAAGTAAAGATGAAAAACTTGAGTCACTCAGACAAAAAAGTCATTGTAGGATCCAGTGGAAGGGATTTTAACAATTGGCAGCTTCAAATCTAACTTTAGAGTGACTACTGATTTGTTTACTTTCGTTTTACGATGGAGGTAAACCGTAATGGCAGCGTTGTAATAAGTCAGACAGCAACAATGAATGTATTCGTTCAGAAAATCTGTAGAAAATCAGATACAACTTGTTCACTTTAGAGTTATCAAAGCAGCTCCGTAGTAATTTAAGCATTTTTTTTTTGTCATCTTATAAGAACACACACATTTTAAAAAATCTAAATATTTACATATTTAATAAGTTTAATTGTTTTCTAATCCATCTGTGTCTGGGTAGTTTGTACCCACTCGTCCAGTTGACGAGTGGGTACAAATCAAACCAAATCAAATCTCCAGTCAGTTCTATACTGACCACATTTTGAAATGTTAACATTTTGACCAAAAGTGTCATTATGGAGGACGCATCCTGCCAAAATTGGCAATAAATATCAATACCAACAGCTTGATAAAGTAATTAATGTACCAGATATTGCATCCAAAAAATAGAATATATGAACCTTTCAAACTCAATTGGACTATTCAGTGTGGCACAAAGTGTAAGTACCAAGCTATAACATATGTCTGCCATTGCTACTCCAATTAGTGTTTAATGTATTTAAATGTTTAGCTTGATAGTCTCTTAGTTGACACTGAAATTTAAAAGAAATCCCACCTTATTAAAAAAATGTTTTAGAACATTTATTTTTTGCTGATGCCTTTGTGATCGACGTCTTGTGATGTACATCATATCAAGATAACAAAAGAAGAATTTGAAGTGAATTTCTTTAGCTTGCTTTCTAAAACTACGTGAGATCCTGCAGTTATAATCTACACTTCAACATCTCACTTCATTTCTGGTATCAATGTTCATTTGTGAATAGAATCAAATCCACCTCTGGCTAGCTTCTTCAAAAACAAGGAAACGGGGAAATAAAATGTACTCTTCCTCTTAAACTAATCTTATTTCATTATTAACCTCTAATACGTGACTTCTAAGCAGAGCAGAAGGAAACGGGTTAGAGAAAAAGACGGTCAGAAGTCATGGAGAGGGAGAAAGTGGCAATGGTCGAGACGGCAAGCGAAAGTCGCCCCCAGGCCCCTCCGTCTCCTTCCAGAAGTGTCCTGGTGCTCGCGCGGCTGTAGATGTGGGACGCTCCTATAAAGAATGTGTAAGCTGATGGCGTCTGTCAGGCTCTCGCAGGCTGTTATCTAGCCATTAGATCAGATTTATCTTCATTCCCATTCGCTCGACGTCTGCCCTGAAAGCTCATTTGTCAAGGCCAGGCAGCGGGGCTTTTCTCGCATCTGCAGCCCCCTCCCTTCGCCGCCGCATGTCGGCGGGAGGATGTTCAGCGAAATACAGTGTGACATGACAAGATAGGGGACAGTGAGAAGGAGGGAGCACAAAGGAGGAGGTTTTTTTCTCTTTTTTTTAAGGGTGGGGGGACAAAGTGGCAACCACTTAACTTGGCATTGAGAAATAATCCATGCATTGTCTTTGAGCAGCTCCTCGCTCTGTGATTTATTGGCTGTTGTTTCAGAGCTGGAGACTCGCTATGTCCTCGCATTATCGCTTTTTACTTCACAACGTTTCCCCCCCTCTCCTCTGGCCTCCTTCCTTCACCTTCACCCTGAGGTGCAGCAGTCAGTTTTTAGAGGTTTTCATTTTTAACATGTTTTTGGGGGGCAAACTCGTGACATCAGGAGTTTGGAATTAATCTTTTAATTGAAACTTAATTGGAGTAGTTCAAGCTCATCTCAGCTTGCAGCTTGCGTGTGCGTTTCTGATCTGGAGCCAGATGGCAATCCTGATCCTGACTGACTGCGTCCTGATGCGTGCGAGTAGTTAAAGAGGGATGGAGCGAAGGAAGAGAGGATGGAGGAATGCAATGATTCATTCTGCTGATTGATTCACTGGTGATGCTGCTAACGTGCTGCGAGACTGCTAATTTCCCTTTCCTTCCAGAGGTTTTGCACACGACTGACAGACACCTGCTCAGCGAGTAGTTAGCCAGCGCCGGTAGAAAACACCAGGCAGTTCAACACCTGCGAGATAAAGATAGATGGTGGCAAGAAGTTTCCTACGGAGGGCCTGAAATGCCAAAAATCAATAATCTCAAAATCTTACAGAAGTAAACAAATGTAAAGCTGTCATCAGAATTCAATTGTGCCAGTTTATTCACTTCGTTACTCCATACTTTCTGCTTTGTATTGATTGTCAGTAGTGCCTCAAATGCATATAAAAGTGAAACGAATGTATATTATAATAATTGGTCTGTTTACCTTCAGTATGGGTTTACCATTTTATGGTCAGAGTAGCATTTGGTAGGGCTTTGGTGTAATTAGAAAGAGAAAAAATGAAGTGGAGTAGTGTTGGTCTGATTCATTTGATGGGAAAAGTTGACAGACATAAAATTATGGGGCGCTGCTTAATGAGGCAGTATTACAACTTAGAGTTATTTGCATGCTTTGTAAATTAACTGCACATATTTGCCTTGTGTTTGAATTATATACTTGTTTCGAATTGTAATTTTTTTTTTACCTGATATGTGAGTCGCTTAGCCCTGATTATTTAACAAACTAGTGGTGGATTCATGACAGAACTAAAACAATTACAGGAAAATGCTGAGATTGACATAAATCAAGACATACATGCCATGCTAGATTTTTGTGTCTCACCATCTCCATCATTTGTAACATTTGCATGTTTAGAAAAAATAAAAATACAGCTGCAGCCTCCTCCTCCTCTCCACCCGGATCAAATCGCAGCCAATTAAACAGTGTCTCTAATGCATTAGGACAATTTTTTTGCCTCGTTCTTTGTTACCTGCTCCAGAAACAAGATAGACTCCTATTTAATGTCCAAGTCCCTTGGACAATTACATTCGTAATTATTTGTCATAGCCACTTTCTCTTTGTGCACTGGCCTTATTATTTGCCTTCCCAGAGAATTGGTTTGGGGGAACATGATGTGGAGTGTTTTACAGATGCTAACTTGACCACAAACGAGATTTAACACTTGGATTTCAGCCTAGAGTGACGATGAAGCCACGCAGCTCCTAGTTTTGCCCCTTGGTGGCAGTGTTGCACCACGTTTTGACTTGCACCTTAACCACTTTAATGCTCATGAACAAATATTAATAGGTAACTGCACATAACTCTTCACAGAGGCTCCTTGAGCTCAGAAATGAAGGTACCAAATCAATGGGGGAGAATCTCCACAGCTTTGCAGAAAGACTGATGCTATAAAGGCCAATACTGCAGTGCTTTGGAAAATGATTCACATGCTTTTAATTTTTTTTTTTTTTTTTTTTTACATTTTTGTCACATTGTACCCAGAAATCCCAATGCATTTTATTGATATTTTATGTTGATGACCAACAAAAAGTTGAAAAGTGTAGCACAGAACCTCATTTCTCTGCTTTAAGTCGGGCAAATGTCTTGAGAGACTAAAACATTTAGATGGATGCTGTCTGAGAACGTCAGTGACAAATCTTAGTATCCATTCTCAGTAGTATCTAGGTCTGGATTGGGCCGTTTTAACACAAAACTCAGAACCGTTGTCTTTTGTTAATAACCATACCTCTTCCGTCAAGCCTAGCTTTATGAAGCGCACGACTTAGACTTGTCCTGTCAACAGATTTTTATCCCTGTCTTGAGCTCATTCATCTTCATACTAACTGCTGCCAGCGCCATGTTTTCCAGAGTCGGTCTTCTGCCACACAAGGCAGTTTTTGTGAAGCTGATTAGTTCTGTTAAATCTGTTGAGAAAACATTGAGCACAGTTGCTATTACGTTACTTTCTGCTTATGGATATTAGAGTAAATAGGAATGAATAATAATGCATGTCATACTTTCCAGGTTTGTATTTATGAAGAACAAGTAAGTAATGTATGAAAAACAAACCTATGTATCCTTTTATTTCCTCTCCATAGTTTTGAACCACTTTGTCTTGGTTTACCACATAAAACACATTAATGATCTGCAACTTGAGCAAATATAATAGTATTCAAAGGATATAAATACATTTTTAAGGTACTGTCAGTGGAGAATTGAACCAATTTAGTGGTTATAAAGTTTTTAATTCAGTCGGCCAAGAATTTTTACTTGTTCGGCTTTATGGGGTGGGCATTTATCATATCGTTTATCATTAACAATTTTTTTTTTTTTTTACCAAGATAAGATTTCTGTATTTTAATGAATGTTGTTAAAAACACTGGTGGTATTGTCAGAAGTTTTATTTTTTACTCTTTCCTCAGCTGTTTGCTCCACGAGATCATCAACAAATATCAGTAAATTCTAAAATTTGATTAAATGCGGTCACTAAGTGCAGCTTCCGTCACACTTCTTTAACTTCCTGTTTCAAATGGGAACGTTTTTCAAGACCAGTGGTTGTGTTTGTGCAGCTTTGACCAGTTACCAAAAAAAGGAGAAAAAAAAGCAATAATTAGATTTTTTATTGTTATTGTTATCGCAATAGTATCTAAATAATATTGTGATAAAATCTAACTCCGTATCGCCAACCTGTATTTCCTGTATCTGAGCCTCTAACATTCCTGGTGTCTCTCCGTGTTTTTGCTCTGAAGGTTTCCCTCGTGGCAGACTGTGGGGGGGAGGAATGGTAGGAAATATAAGTGCCTGTCTAAAAATGATTCCTCCAACAGCTGTCAGGGTACTGTCCTCTCCCTCACGGCCAGAGAGCCTTATGTCTGGCTAAAACGAGATGGAGCAACAGAGAGGAAAGAAAAAGACGCGTTTCATCTCATCACGCCCTTCTTCCCTCCTCCCCAGACTCCACCGTGGCGAGGGTGGGACCAGCCAGCGGGCATCTGCGCCACTCTGGGGCCTCAGGGGGAGGCGGGGCGGAGGGTCGGAGGGCGGCTCCGGGAGTCGCTCCGTGAGATCCACTCGCTGTTCGCCGGCGTTTCCACGCCGATGCAGGATAAATGGGGAAGTCAAGTCGCCAGGTGGGCAGCTGCGCCCGCCTGTCCGCCTTTAGGAGGCATAAATATTCATGTCTATCTTCACTAGCTGTTGGCAGTCCATATTTTTGTTGACATATGGTGGATGGGTTGGAACTTGAGCAGAGCGCGCGGTTGCCGAGGTGCGAGCGCGTGTCCGAATTTATCAGTGTGTTTGACAGGAGCATGTTCTCTGGACACAGATACACGGTCGGCCTGATGACCTTCTGCAGACCCGCCAGCCGCCGCACCTGCGTCGTGTCGCCTGTTTGTAGCTGTTTGTTAGCCGGCCAAGTCGCACTCTCACTGAAGCGGTCGCTCCCCTCAACACCCCGCTTTACGGCCAGTTGCCATGTCGCCATGGACCCCGGGAGGGTAAAATAAAGCACCGTTGACACTTATTGCTTCCGTGAGGAAGCAGTGGCATGACCGCACACTGAAATATTTAAGAAGATACAACTTTTAATTGCGCAAATTGATTTAGTGGAGGGAAAACTGAGCAACTCGGTTTTTGTCAGTAGGATTGCTATTAATTTTTCCCTGCAACATGTCAGAGACAGGACCGTGGAGGTTTTTGGCCATTTTCTTAGCAGACTCTCTTGAGGTCCTCTCGGTAGCAATGGAAGGAGGTTTATTTTCCATTTTTGGGTTGATTTAGTCGTGTGTTTCAGATCGTTACCCTACTGAAAAACGTAGCAAAGACTTATTTTTACTCGGCTTTTACTTGTATTTGAGGGACTAATAATGTAAGGTACTCCAGAAGAAAAAAAAAACCCTCCCTGTCAATAATTTAATTGATTGTCTCAATCTTAACATGATGTTACTTACAGCTGCTATTTCCATCAAAACAAGGTAGCTGTAGCTGCTAAATGACTTTACCACCCATTTCTCTTGTAAAGATTTTTTTTTTATGCTGCATTAAACATGTGTTGCCAACTACATGCAAGGAGAGCCTGAATGCATCGTACTTAAATAATTAGCTATCACTTTTTGCAGTCCAGCTAGCTCTTCACAATATGGATAAATCCTACAGCGATATAATAGTATCTGTGCAAAAAGTCGTGCTGAGTTAAAATGTCACATCTTAGCAAATGTTAAATCCAAGGAACCTCGTGACTAAACTAGCAAACAGTTCTACTGCAGTTCACTTCATTATGCAGCGCCACATTTAACCTTTGCTACACTCCTGGTCCATTTGTTGCTGAAGTATTTAGAGTTCTTTTCATCTGACCAAACGAATCCTGCATATTTATGTTTGTGACAGTAGACACAAAGGACTTTCCAAGCAGTTGTGATGTAAACAGCCTTTTTTATGTTGCTGTACTCTTAAGGGTCCGCTCTGTTCTTGTCAGCTCTGTGGGAGTGAAATTAGGAGGTTTTTTTTAAAACTTTAATTAAAAAGTAAAAAAAAAACCTCCACACTGTGCATGTTGACGGGTTCAACATTATTGAGAAGGAATAAAAGAATTGGTGGTGTCAATGATTTCTTAAAAACAATGATATCTTGGATTTATTTTTCCTCCCCGCAAATAAATGTACTGTGTAAGATCTTGGCTTACAAAGAAAAGAGGACTTTATCTTAGGTCTTCCAACATATTTATTTACTAAAAGTTCAACAGTAATTGTGGAGGATGCCCAGGAAAATATGAATTTAGGATTCTACAATCTGCAAGGCCCTTCTACGAATTAAATCCAGTCCTTTGCGATTGTGATTTCTAGACTAGAGGGTGTTATAAGTTGTTTTTTTTGGGGGTGGGGGGGGGTTTCTCACACAGACGTGAACTAGCGACCCCCACTAAGCAGAGATGGACTCCTTTTTGTTCCCAGGTGGCGTGTTTGATCCGGGTGCCTACAGAAGTGGTGAAGCAGAGAACCCAGGCCTCTCCCTCATCCACCACCTACAGCATGCTGCTGGCCACACTCAGAGAGGAGGTAACGGCTAGCTGAATCGCCTTTTTTTTGCGTGTGTTTTGTTTCTAACTTGTAATATATCTCTTGCGCTCACAAGTTTCACAAAGTTTGAATATGGAAAAAATAAGACTTTGGCTCAAGGAGGACAAATTGCTGGAGAAGCAATGAACTGCAATCGTTAGTAGTTGTACAGTACCGTAAGCAGATTAAGTGACAGGTAAAGTGTGAAAACCAAATGTCTTTTGTCAGCACTGCAATCTGTTCTAGTTCCGATGTGAAAATGAAGCATTTCTGCAGAGTTAAGTACGCTTCTGGACTGCAGTGGAAGACAGTGAGTCTGGCTGTAAGGAGATATAGCTCAAGAGCAGCAGAAGAAACATGGCAATGAAGCCAAAAGGTTTACTTGGCATTCAAACTTCTCAGATCCAAACTTGTGGGAGTATCTGTAAAATGTGTTAGAATAAGTCTGAGCCACCGAGATTCCCTCCAGTGGATATTCAACAGGAGGAGGTTATGTGGTTTTAATGTTTTGGCTGGTTAGTGCATGTAGAAATGTGAAATAACTAAAATAAATGTGTTTTAATGCATTTCAGCTAACGTAGCCACCACCATGTTTCAGTATGGAAATGTGGTTTTCAGGGTAGTTCACCGTATTGGTATAAAACCGTATCAAATTCAGTATGTCTGTGGGTTTTCTACATAGGGTGTTCGAGGTCTTTACAGAGGATACGGCAGTACAGTTCTCAGAGAGGTAAGTTCTGTTTCACTCATTGCTCTAGTTTACCTAATGTTGTATTTCGTTGGGATTTTATGTGATAGACCTGCATAAAGTAGTGCACAACTGGGGTTGAAGGAAAATAATGCACAATTTAATTATTTTTTTTAACAAAATACAATTTTGAAAAATTTGAAGTCCATTTATACTCCTCTTTGTAAATACTCGGTGCAACGTTTTGCTGCAATTTCAGCTGCAAGTCTTGGAAATCTACCAGCTTTGCACATTGTTTGCCAGGTTTTCTCTGTGTTGTTGCTCCGTTGATTGCTGAGCAACTTTCCTTTTTCTGCTGAAGATAAACATCCTCCCAAGATCATGGCAACACTACCGTGTTTCACTGTTTCTAGAGTTATCCGTTACGTACAACGTGACATAAAGCATGTCGGTGAGAAAGTGTGATATTGACTCCTGAAAGCAATTAGTTTCACTGGATCTTATTCATCAGTGTAAAGGGCGCTCTAAAGAAAGGAATGGTGGACTTTTGAGATTTTTTTTTTTTTTTGTGAAAACTTTTAAACCAAGTTATTTCCCTTCACCATTGTATGCTAGTTTGTTTGGTTTGTGGCACATAATTCCAGTTTAAAAACATCAAATTTGAAGTTGTAATGTCAGAAAACATGAACAGTTTCAAGGGGTATGAATACTTGTGAAAGACAAAGTGTCTGTCTGATAAAGTTTAGTAACTGTGTAGCTGACCATACAGAAGCTTTTAATTTCAGCACTAAGGAAAAACAAGCTCTCAGCCTGTTGAAAAACTGCCTGCTGATTTCTTTTTTTTGGTTGGGATGGATATCAAGGCTTTCCACTGGTGTGATTAAAGTCATTTTAATTTCTCCTGGGCTTTATCGAAGCTGGACATATTGATTCACATTTTCTCCCCCTCACTTTCATCTCAATTACTCGTCCAAGATGGGTCTGGTGTTTTTCCAGGTGAATCTGAAATATTAATGCAATTAGCCGTTATAGATGCAAAACAAAGGGAGAATAAATGAGGAGCGGGCTTGCGCTCCCTCCGCGGTTGACACGTGCTTTCTTTTTTTTTTTTTTTCCCCACTCTTGAGTCGTGATGCTTTCTTAATTGCACCTGCCATGTGTGATGATATTAAAACAATTGTGACCTCTCCCCTCTCCTGGCCAAGTTTCGACACCACTGGAGAAGAAACTGAGGAGAAAGGGGAGACAGACAGGGAGAATGAAGTATGCGAAGGTGACACTTGTCTTTTTTTGTGGAGGTGGGGGGAGTCGTGTGAGGGTGTAATCCAGTCTCCTTCCCCTTCGCTGTGCTAGCCTGTACTTATTTTCTGCCTCACTAAACTGATGTTATTCACGCAAATTCCATCTGGACAGCTGAGGGGAAAAAAAAGAAGAAGGGGAAAAAAAAAAGGACAACAAGACACTGTGATTTCTCCGAGGGGCTCTGAATAAATGAATACATTTGGAGGCTGACGCACTGGCCCGTGTGCATACTAACACCGGCAGATGAAACGCGGTGGCGGCGGGGATCTGGGGCGCGGGAACGGCAGACGATGCTCGCCCGTGATTGGCTTTGACGTTTGTCAGGAAGGTAATTCATTTTCTTTGGGGCCCTTCTCCGCCACCGGCTGCATCTACCTCCTTCGGCCCGGAGACCCTGTCAGGATAAGTTTGTTTGTGTGGTGCACCAAGGCGCCTTACCTCCTCGCTGTCCCTCTAATTGGGGACTTTTCTGTGCTTTATATTCATTAGAAAGTTTTCAGGCAGCATTTCAGATGGACACGAGATCGCATTAGCGATCTACTGTTTTGGGATCCACTTACAGTGCCGTGAAAAAGTATTTGCCCCAATCACAGAATTTCTTTCTTTTTGATATTGGGAATAACCCAAATAAATACAATTTCATAAGCTGAACAAACGAACTTGGCCCTCATTAAAAAATGTATAATAATGGCCACCTCTTATTAAGACATATATTACCTGTAATTATCTGAGATTTTTGTTCAAACGCTGAGCCACAGTTCTCACCCAAGCCTGATAACCATCTTAGAAATGATTTACTTAGAAGCTGCCTAACAAGAGGAAGTTGAACAAAAGATCTCAAAGAGCAACACACAATTCCCAAAACCTAAAGACATTCCAACACAGATGAAAAACAAAGTCACAAAACAAGTTTAACAAAGTTCTTTCTAAAACTTTGTGACTCTTTTAAATGACAGTGAAAATTATTAGACATGGATGGAGGAAACAGTCACTCCAGTGGCACATCAGCAACCAGGTTAGCTCAAGTCATTGAACTTCAACATTCACTCCTACAGCATGTGCAAGGAGCTGCAATCCCTCATACTGAGGATGCATGGGGAGACAGTGGAGAAGAAAGACGTTCCTTTAACAGAAAGAAATGTCCAGCACAACCTGGCTCAGTACGAGCGGCCATCTGCCACGACCGACTGGGGGTTTTGAGAATTCGCAGCTTATAAAAAAAGACTGCTTTCTACTTAAGTTAACACCAGGAGAGGCAGAACGTTTAATTGTAACCAGCATTATCTCAGCTAAGGCTCTCCTGCTAACAGAGTTAGCAGTTGAAATATCAACAAATGCAAATTGGAGAGTAGTAGAAGAAGAAAGCAGCAGAGTGATCAAAAGGTGTCGGTTTGTCCTGCATTAGCCTAACCCTACAACAGCATAGATACAGAAATATGTCAGGATGACCTGAGCCATTAGAATGAGGCAGAAGTAAGAAGAACAGGAAGATTGTATTCCCCTCCGCCGAATCAGGCCATACACTCTACCTCCAATAATTGGGGAAGCATCGCTGTTTTTAACTATGTGCTTTATCAAAAAAGGAAATTCTTAAGCCTGGTTTTAAAAGTAGACGGCTTGTCTGCCCCCTGTACTAAAATTGTAAGCTGGTTCCACAGGAGAGGAACCTGATAACCAGAAGGTCTGCCTCTTGTTCTACTTTTAGAAATTCCCCAGTAAACCTGCAGCCTGACAGCAAACAGGTTGTTAAAGCTGGAACACGGTTCCACAGCGATGCTAAAGACTTATTGCTAGTTGCTTGATGGAGGTTCTTGCCGTCAAAGTTCGTTCAACCCGTTAAGCGAGGGGGGAAAACATTTTCCCTCATTTGACCAGGCTTGTTTTATGTTTTTAGGTTTTTACGTGTTCCTTAATTCATAAATAAAAATTGCGCTTGATACTTACTCAGGTCGCCTTTATCTGTTAAACATTATTTTGATGATTGAATTGTGACAAAACAAAGGAAATTTGTAAGGGGGAAAGTACCTTTTCACAGCATTGTAGATTTCATTCAGAATTGAAGCGTGTGTTTGGCTCTTGAAGGACCGTCACGTTTCCCCTGCAGGGGCCTCCACAGTTTTGCAGCAACAGTAGCTAATTTTGCACAACACGCCGCACCGGAGACGCAGAGTTTTATTAAAAACTATTGACTAATAGGCATTCAGCTCTTTTTTATTTTGCAGCACATTAATCTTCATTGCGGTACACCCTTTCCTTAAAAGAAACTGTCAAGCTCTCTGCTGAGTCGGCATCTTTTGTGTTCCAGCTGAATAGAGCATGAAATCAATGAGATTCAGATCGGGGTGAATAAATTTGTGCTGCCCAAAATGACTTTATTCTCCTCTGAAAACAAAGACCTATTAAATTAACACCAACCAGACGCCGCTCAGGACTTTAAATACAGAACTTTTTTCTTTCTCTCTTTCTATTTTTTTTAAAATTCCCAGTTTCCCTGCAAGCTGCTGGTGTTGTCTGGATGTTAATTTGTTTTTATTGTGTTGAAATACACAGGGCACTATTTCAAGTCTAATCAAGACTCTTAATCATGTTCCATCGTCATATGATGTTTGTCAATTTGCTGCAATTCCCACGGCTTCTGCTGCTCAGACATACCCTTTCTCGCCACTAGGGGGCATGAGAAGATTAGTCTTGAGCGCCGACTCTTCACGCCAGCTTCTGTTGCTCTGTCATTATGCTGGAATATGACATTTATGTTCAGGGGTTTATTAGAAAGCTCCTAATTTTCTTCTTTCTGAGCTGAATCTCTGCCAGGTAATCTTGAATTTAAGCAGAACTCTTACAATTTGAGTGTGAGTAATGAGCCTGAGATGGGTTTTAAGGTAGTAATTCATTGATCTGACGGTGTGAAAGTGAAGCTGACAGGACAGACCAAGGCGCCTGCTGCTCTGTCTACATCTCAGGCCCATTTTGACCTTGTCTCAAATTTTGAAACTAAGCCAGCTGAGGAAAATAAAAATCCCATCTGTTGGGATATATTCTCCTTGTGTACATAAATTTCCTAATCCTTACTCTGAATCTGCGTCAAAGGTTCTCCACCCAAACATCTGGAACCTGGCGACCTGAGGTACAAAGTATGGTTTATGAAACACCTCGCTGTTGGGGCTCCTCCCCACCACACCTCGGCTAATTCTCCCTTCATCTCCTCTTTAAGCCCCGGATCATTCCTTGTATGCTCCCTGCGTTAGTCGAGGAGAGGTTCAGCCGGCTGACTTTGATTCTGAGTTTTAGCAAAAGGCTGACTGAGATCCAACAAAGGATCCTGCAAAAATCACTGAGTGCTTTACGGCACTCAGTGATTTGGTCTCATCCGTGTTTAGTTGATAGTCTCTGCGTGTTTGAGTCGGCTACCAGATTATATTAGAATTATCTGTATTCTTCAATGCTTTTTTTAATAAAATTATTTAGACTTTTTTTTTTTTTTAAGGTGGAGCCGTATTCATGTCTACCATAGTTGCATAATACAGACTTCTGTACTTTCTGACCTAAAATTTCTTATTTATGTTTAAAAGTTTAAAACTTTAACAGAATCTGTGCCCGCAGCAAGCAAAGCCCTGGGTCCAAGCGAAGTGTTGGAACAAGCGTCTGGTGTTTACCAGGCTCGTCTATATCTGGTTTTAACTGTATGGGCAGTCACAAATGTGGCCTGACCTTTGAGTCATTTTGATGTTTGTTTTGAGTTA